ATTATTTTAACTTTAAAATATGAAATGCACCTTCTCATGCATAGGTAAGGTGTCATCAATGTAAAAATTGAAGTTTAGGTGTTGGATATGTAAATCCATAGGAATTGTGTGGTATGTATGTAAATACAACACTATAAAATTGAACATAAAATTAAATTTGAGCTCTACTAAAAAAATGCATCCCACCAAATCAAAAAAATCCAACAAATCTCATCATTTTCAAAACTAGTTTCTACAAATAATCAAACGAATCCTCAAATAGGACCCAATTTATGTGAAGCTAAACATGGTTGAATTTGCAAGCTCTACCTACAGGAGATAAAGGAGCACAGCAATGAGAGTGGAGAACCAAAACATTGTCAATCTAGAAGATGAATTTATGAAGAAATCAGGGTCGACGGACTCTCTTTCGAGCCTCACTGGAGGTAAAAGCTGTGTGTGCTCTCCAACCACTCATCCAGGTTCATTCAGGTGCAGGTACCACCGTCAACATTTAAACCAAAGCTCGGTCGCAGCTTCTTCTGCTGCCACTGCTCAGAAAACAGATGCAGCAGAAGCATTGCCTCCAGTCCGTTCCTCTCTTAAGGAGCAGAAAGAAACAGAGATCAAGTGAGGTTTAGAAAGTCCTACTAATTTGGTTGTGTGTGGATCATTCCTGAAACATATTGATTTGTTTTGCAGAGAGGCTTTATAGCCTCAAATTTCTATTTGTGGAATATTTAAGTTTGATTTTAGAAAGACCTATATGATTATATACTGCATGTTGTACATACTATCCTGTTAACTAGTCTATTGATTCTTCTACAAACTTCAGGAACAATGAAGTCATCTCAAAAGGGTTCTTCAAATCCTATCCAGTTAACATGGAAGAAGAGGTGCAAATCCCTGATCGTAGCTGGCCAAAATGAGTTTGAGATCTGAGAATCGATCTACTTAATTTTTTCAAGGAAGATTTACATTATTACATACATACCACTCAATTCCTATGTATTTACATATTAACACCTAAACTCACTTTTACATACGCGCCCCCTTTCCTACGCATGAAAGAAGTGCATTTTATTGCTCAAAGCTTGTATATGAATACGATCTTAACAAAAAAAAAAATTATAATCAATCATAGGGCCTTAAGTTTTTTTTTTCATTTAATTTTTCAAAATCATTCAAGTTTTTTAGTATTCAATCACAGCAGCCAGTTTAGCAGAGGAAATCTCCTATGCCCAACAATGATCTGCGGATGGTAATATTAGGGGAAGGAAATGATAGAAATTGAGATTTCATGAATATAAGCTCAGTCCTACTGTGCCATGCTTTCATCTCTTTATTCGCAGCATGCACATAAATATGTAAATGCATAGAAATTGAGTGGTATGCGTGTAAATCTTCCTTTGTTTTTTTTATGAGTAATGAGCGGGAGAACTAAATGCTGGCTTTTTCACCATTCATCAATTCCTTGATCCTAACTCATGTCCATATTACGATTTGATTCACTAACCTAAGTATAGACATACATTAAGTTTTTCAAATGCTATGGACTTTTTCAAAAGGCTGAGAAGATCAAGAAGATGAAAATACAGACCAACCATATAACCCTGGGTGTTCCCGAAAAATATGGCACAGCAAAAGTGGGGGAACTAAATGCGCACAGCACTTCTGAACTTTTATTGAAATTATTTTACTTCAAGACCCAAACAATATGTAAAAATAAATAATTAACTACTTAATCAAATAATTTAAGTGGCTCACTAGAATAATTTATGCAAATGTGAGTGATTGAAAGTTAACGCACTTGAATTGTATAATTTACTTGATTAGATATAATATCATCAAATACCAAAACAGCACACAAGCAAATGTGCTAGAATAAAAGTATAAGATATACCCAAATGGAAAAGCATTAAAACAGTAGGGGAATTTACATAAAAACCACATGGTTATCGTGCATTTACATATCTAACGCCAAAACATTCATATTTACATGTATACCACTCAAATTTTTAAAATCACATAAAAAATACTATCATCACTATCTTTCTAAATGTGAAATACACATTTTCGTACATGAACTTATCAGACAAAGGTGTTATAATTGTAAATATCAAACTTAAAATCACATAAAAAATACTATCATCACTATCGTTCTAAATGTGAAATACACATTTTCGTACATGAGCTTATCAGACAAAGGTGTTATAATTGTAAATATCAAACTGTGGGTTTTAGACATGTAAATACATAAGAATTTTGTGGTATGTGTGCGCCACCATTTTTTTTTTTATTGTTTCTGCCTGAATGGTGTTTTTCTTTATATCGGTCACTTTTGGACCTCTCTTCTCAAACAACCTTCATTTCAGAAGAAATAGACTGAGAGAAAGAAAGAAACAAAGATAGATAAATACTAAGAAAAATAAACAAAAAAAAAGGGTCGATACGAATCATCTCCTAAAAAAAGGATGATCCAACTTATCACAAATGATCTCTAAAGACAACTCCAATAACTTCAACTTTTCTTAGCTTCCATTGTGGAATCTTTTCTATATGATTCACATGCTATCGTTAATTATGTAGAATGTCACCATTTGTAACTTATGATATATACAGGTAGAATTATTTCAAGTTGGCTTGGTCCCATACTTTTTTTTTTTTTGGATTTTCATATAGAAACCCCGATGTCTCATCTTAGAACTCTTCCATCATGCGTGTGATGGATCTTCAAACAAAGTCAAGGCATTAAACTCCTATTCTACCCCCAAGAATTTCCTTGCACGCAATAATCATATCTAGCTGCTCTCAATCCTTTTGTCATCAATTTCTTTCTTCTTTCAGTCTTCTATTAATGGGAATAAATGCATACAATGTAGATAAATAAAGTTAAAATAACATAGAACGGATTTTCCTTCTTATCAGGCTTAAAGGTAGCCAGTTCTTTCTCTCGATGTTCTCATAGAAAATGATTCATCATAAATATTATAGTTGCTGATTTATTTTTATTTTTCTTGCCCAATAGAAATTTGGTAGCCATTTATCTTTAAGCATTCTTTTAGCAAATTCAATAATTGTCATGTTTCTGCATTCTGTTGCACCGTTACGTTGCATCTATAGCAGTCATTAATTGCCTCTACATACCATACGTACAGTCCCATCTTCTGGGCCACCAGGAGTTAAGGCAATAAAGACTTTTTTTAGACGAAAAATTGCTTGTTTTCTAGCCTTCAAGTAATAGTTATTTTCGATATGATGATAAATCTTAAAATGATAACATTCCTATCCGTTTATATTTTGACTGTTGCTATTCTTAGATCAATAATCTTTCCCTGCATAATTTATATTTTCATAAAAAGTAGAATATTTGTTAAATGTAGTTTGATTCGTCTTATTACCCTCATATTTACCTCTCCCCTTAAATCCACCATGACCGTTTCCTCTTCTAATCTCCTCCATAAGTCCACCTTCTGGCACTCTTAAATTTAATTTTTATTGAAATGTCTACTCCAATAAATTTTCTAACCGCATAAATCAAGCACCAACACCTTGAGCTTTATTTGGAGTGAAGATGCATTATTCAATTAACTACCATGTTCGAGCCTTCGTCTGCATGTCATGTTAGAAGCACACACCTTCAAAACATTAGAAGAGACATTTTCAAATGACTCATGAAAGATCAAGTTCGACGGAGCACAAGGTTCGCATCTCAATGAAATGGTTGATGCTTGAAGCATGAAGAGCAGATTGTGAGAAATGCATGTTAGTTTTATGGGTTATCTTAGTAAGACAACCCTTCATCTATTGACGCTAGTTTAAACTAACATGGTTATTTTGTTTCTCACTCCTGAACATTTGTTCCCAATCATTGTTGTGGCTCATAACCTACTTGCTGACCTTAAACATAATTCCACACTCAGTACACATAAGAAAATATTGGATCCTAAATTCTTTGGTGGAAGCTAATTGAACCATACTTGAAGCTACTAAAAATTAACCAAGGGATGCAAAAGTAGGTTAATTAGACTTGAACTGGATTTTTGCACGCTCTTTAGAACCCTTGCAAGAGAACTCAATTGAACTAAGCCAAGTGAGAGTGTCAGACTACCCAAGCTTTGAGAATGAGGCGGGGCGGCAGCAGCGCGCAGAAGAGAGAGAGAGTGAGATAAGCCTTAAGCCTAAATACATAGAAGTGCGAAGTCAGGATTGTCGTTATGTGATGTGCTTTATAGCTATTACATTGCTATAAGGTTCCAAGACATAAGACATAACTAGTCATGAAGCATTCTCCATTGATACAAGCATATAAGATGGCTTCTATTGCTAAGCACTTCAAGCAGGTACTAATGGTCAGTTATGAGTTGAGTATCACTAATTGGGTATACCTTCTGTCGACTGAGGTCAAAACCGAGTCAAAGTGTTCTTTTGGCAACTTATCTCTGGCTTCATTTTGATGAATTCTGAAAAAACAATTTCTTACATTTGCATAGGAAAGTTGGTTCACCTTTTTTTTTTTTATTCCTTGGTCATGGTTTAGGTCCATATTACAACTTGGTTCACTTGAGTCAAATAATAGTGAAAATTCTAAGCATTGACAATGTCATCGCTGGTGTCATAATATGTAGCATGCCAAGCAAGAAATTAAAAAAGAAGTTACAATCAAAGAGTATCAAATTTTCCTAATGAAGGATTGTGCTAAGAATCTCAAAAATCTTTGGGTAATAAAGGAAAAACAGGGTAAATACGTCACACTTAAAAAAATGTATTGCAAATAGAAGTTTAAGCACGATGACCACCATCTCGGTTTTACTCATGAGAACTAGAACCGACAGTGTTAAGCCGGTTTAGAAACTCTGCAATCTCGAGTGAATTTGCAAAATTTTAATTAAAAGTAGAAAGAACTTATTCAGTCCAAAAAAAAAAACTAGATTGAAAAAAAAAGGCAAACCCCAAGTTCGGAGTCTTGCTACATTGCCCAAGCTAAAACACCCAAGTTCGGAGTCTTGCTACATTGCCCAAGCTAAAACACAAAAAAAACGACTTGATGGGATTATAATTATGTTAATAAAATCAGCCAACATCAGGATTATATCAAATTATCAATAAAATTCTAAGCATGATGATGGAGCCTCACAAAATTTTAAAATAAAAAAATTTAAAAGTTTACATTGCAGCTTCAACCCTCCACTTCCTACTCGAATATAGAAAGTAGACATACACAACTGCATATGTTTTACTGTTCAAGAGAATCTGATAACCAAAGCAGTAAAAATCTCACTTGTTTGTCCGAGACTCGTTACTCTGCAACTCTGCTTCTCCATCCTCTGAAGATGCCGTCAAAACCACCGCACGATCTCGCATTAACCTCTCCTTCTGTACCATATTCTCCTCCTCTATCGCCACCTTCTGCGAGCCTGTCAACCTAGCGAGCATCACAAATGACATCCCGCCGAGAACATTGTTCAAACATCGGATAACCACCACCAAAGTCTTGAACGCCGCCGGCGAAACCGCTTTCTCCATCACAAACTCCAACCCATTAAGCGTTTGATACCTAAAATTGCTACTCAATCCCATGTGCAGCGCCCAAGTAGTCGCGTTTAGCACCGTCGGCGGCGGCTTATTAGGTGTTTCGAACTCTGGATCCATCATCTTCCTCAACGCGATCAGCCAATTCGCAATCGCCGTACCAGCAAGCCCAGCCGCAAAGCCGACGGCAGCAAACGTGGCGCCCTTATAGGCGAAAGTGCCGATTCGGTCCATTAGGGAAAAGGGCCCGGACTCAAACATGTAGCTCGGGAGGGAGGTGACGACAGCCGCAGTAGAGGAGGCAGCGGCCGTAGGAGCAAGGAGGTACATTAAAACAAAGTTAACAATAGAGCCGACAACAAGGGTACAAAACACGAAATCGAGTTCATTAATGCCGAAATTAGGACGGGAAGCCATGTCACCTAACACGCAGGCACTGACGCCAATGAGTTCCTCCATCAGAAGCTTGAAAGGAAACTGAGGATCAGCCAAAACCCTTGATCGCCAGCCATTGATGAAAAGCCCTATTGGGCCTACTGAATCTGATCGCTCGGGCTTTTCGTCGTGAAATCCATTGTCGTCGCCGTAACCGCCGCCGCGGTGGCGAGGTCCGCCGGGACTTCCGCCTCCTGAAAGAAAGGTTCGATAGAGGTGACGGTCTGAGGATCTAGCCAGGAGATTAAGTGCGGCGGGAAAGGGAAGGGGTGCACTAGAAGAGAAGAATGGTTGGAAACGAATTCCGACGAGTAGGCAGCGGGTGATTCCGGGCGGTGGGGATGCCGGAGAAGAGATAGGGTAGAGGCGGAGCTCGGCGGCCATGGCGTCGACTCCGCCGGCACGGCGGAATGGCAGTTCATTTATAATGCGTAATACTGAACCGCGTGCGTCTTTTTCCGCTTATCGCATTTTGCCATGTAATCAGACTGAAAATTATACTTAAAGATCGGAGCAGTTGTTTATGTGAAGGAAAGGATAAATTTTGGGACAATTTCAAAATCTTTTAATAAGGGAGAATGCTATTGTAATTTTTTACAAAATATAATTAAAATTTAATAAGGGAGAATGCTATTGTAATTTTTTACAAAATATAATTAAAAACATGATAAATTTGATCAATTACTGTTCATGAATTTTTTATTCTATCAAATAATAGAGGTTTTATATGAAAAAAAAAAAACAGAAGTGATGAAAGATGTTATATGTGTTTACAAAATAAAAAATAATTTGTTAAAAATTAGCTTGACAGCAAAAATTTACCATAAATAAAATATTCTAAATGCATGCTCATCTATAATTTAATAAGTAATCAAGTTTGAATAAAATTTTAAAACCATAGGTAGAAATGAAGAAGTTTGAGGATTGACTCAATTGTTCATTTACACTTGTGAACATGCTCGTGTAAGGTTTAATAAGTTGCTCGACAAAAAACTCAATCGGTCCGTTTGAGACAGCTTATTTGGTGCGGTGACGTTTTGAAAACACACCTAGCATGATATTTAGAGTCCGGACGTAGATACGTACGGAGTCCAATGAAATCATGTTACGTGAAGGTGATGAAAAAAAAAAATGTTCTAGCGCAAGAGAATATTCCTCCTTATTATTCTGCGGTATTCAAGTATTATTGTGGTTATATTCATGTATTATTGTGTTCTGGGAATATTCTCGGTGTTATAATAACACAATAACACCTGAATAACACGGAATAACACGGGAGGAATATTTCTTGGGCAGGATCTTAAGAAAACGAGTTTTTTTTTTTTTTTCTGTCAGCTCCATGTACAAGTGATTCATTGGACTCCGGGCGTATCTATATGTCCGGAGTCCGGACGTAATAATTTTTCCCTAAGCAGTAACATAAAATTTTAGGGAAACTTACATACTTACCACATAATTCTTATACCACATAATTCTTATGTATTTACACAGTTCTGCCGCGCTATTATTTTGATGTTATAAATCTATGCATGCAGATATGTATTTCACTTTTAAGAAACTACTAATAGTAATATTTTTAATGTGATGTTAAGGTTTTGACTTTAGATGTTAGATATGTAAATACGGACATACGAATTGTGGGGTATGCAAGTAAATGCCCCAAAGTTTTCTTGAGAATTTTCTATTCATTTGAGTAGCTGTTCTAACTTAACAATGGCATTCCACTAAAATGTGCAATGTTTAATTTAAAATATTTTTTACGTGGATTAATTAAGTTTCCTATCATTATAAACCTATAATATATTTCTTTAATACCATTACGCGCGTTAGCTCCCTTCATTGCGTAAGAAAAGTATCAAGAGAATTTAACGTTCAAACTCAAAATAGATATATATTTTTGTTTACAAGAATTAGAATTAGAATTTTAAAATCATCAACTTTTGAATCTTTGGGCTAGACTCAAAACCAGTAGACTATTACTTTGCTAGACTTTGGGAGTTCACTCGTAACTTGTGGGATTGATACACAGACTCAGTTCCATGTACTATTTGGTCAGCACAGATATTTGTGTTTACCATCAATGCTTTATGCCATTTCAATCGTATCAACCTCACCATAATTATCTCTCAAGTAACTGAGGATGCTAAAATTACATCATTGTTGGGGATATTGTACTCTTCAAATGCCACAGCTGACTTAACA